TTTGTATTTTTAGTAGAGAAGGGGTTTCACCACGTTGGCCAGGCTGATCTTGAACCCTGGACCTCAAGTGATCCACTCACCTCAGCCTCCCAAAGTGCTGGTTTGACAGGCGTGAGCCACCACACCTGGCCTTCCAGTCAAGCTTTGTTGTTGTTGTTGTTGTTGTTGTTTTTGAGATGAAGTCTTGCTCTGCCACCCAGGCTGGAGTGCAGTGGCGCAATCTTGGCTCACTGCCACCTCTGCCCCCCGGGTTCAAGTAATTCTTCTGCCTCAGCCTCCCGAGTAGATGGGATTACAGGTGCGTGCCACCATGCTCGGCTAATTTTTATATTTTTTGTAGAGATGGGGGTTTGCCATGTTAGTCAGGCTGGCCTCAAGTGATGTGTCTTCCTTGGCCTCCCAAAGTGTTAGGATTACAGGCGTGAGCCACTGCGCCCAGCCCTAGTCAGTTCTTAATGAAGGAGAATGGGCCTTTTGTTCATCGTTCAGAGAATGTGCTCCTGGAACACCCTGGTTTCCCTCTGCTGCCTCAGTGGCCCATGCTTCCCCGGATGCAGCTGTCATGCTCCAGTCATTCCAAACTCACTAGGGTTTCCCTGCCTGCCCCAGGCTCTGGAACAAACCTGTACCTTTCCTCTGCGGAGTGCCTGTCACCTCCCGTTGGGCTGAGTTCTGTTCCTGACCCAGTTCAAGCATCCAACCTGAGCTCAGCATCCCTCTGGGCTTCCACACCTCAGTGAAGCTGAATCAGGGGCCCTCCTCCTCATTCATCTTTGTAATACTGCAGTAGGCTATTGGCTGCCTGCCTCCACCATTAGACTGTGAACTCTCTATGGGCAGAAACCACTTTCTTACCTCTGCCTCTCCAGCCTCAGTACAGTGCTGGATACACAGAGGATACTCATTGCATATCTGTTGGGCTGAAGAACCTTGGAGATGGTGTTTACGTTCTCCAAGCCTTGTTTCCTAATCTGTCACGGTGAGACTAACTCCTCCCCGGGGTTTTGTGATAATTAAATGAGCTATCAGAAATACAATGCCTAACATGGTAACCAGTGTATAGTAGGTGTTCAATAAAGTTGCTTTCCCTTTTTTCTCCCCTCTGGATCATTCAATATTTAAGAGTGGGGTTTTACTGATCTCCTTTGTGCTCCATTCTCTGTTGAAGACCCACACCAGGAAATGGAGCTGCAGCAGCTGAAATAAAAGATTTAAGGAAACGAAAGTTAGATTTAAGGAAGAGCTTTCTTTAGAGTGTACTGAGGTTAAGAGGATGAGCTGAGGAGTCAGGCTGCTTGGCTTTGCCACTTGCTACCTGTGTGACTCCGAACAAGTATTTAATCTCTTTGAGCCTCGGTTTTGTCATCTGTAAAATGGGGCTAACAGTATTGGCTTCATAGGATTCTTGAGAGAAACCAGTGATCGTAAGGCTTGTGGAACAGAGCCAGGTACAGTAAATGCTTAATAAGGGTTTACTATGGTGCACTGAGAAGCAGGAGACAGACACGGAGTCATCCCCTCCACCCACACCCAGTGTCTGCTGTGTGGATACTTCCTCCTCCAGCTGTCCTGCCTCCCACCCCTCCTCCATCAGACAAGGCCTCTCTGAGTTGGAAATCCCCAGTAAGGGAGTCCTGGTGAGGGAACCCTATTCTCATCAGCCTAGCTACTGAGGCCCGGGTTATTTCTGTCTCTGTTACTGCCTGTGATGTGTGGGGCTTCTGGGTAGGTCAAGGAGCAGCTCGCTCCAGAGTGGCCGGGGTGGGCGCTGGGTGGGTGAGCTGCGTGAGCGTCCAGAGGTGGAGGCTGTGGTGCTCAGCTGCCAGGGCCGGGGTTGGCTGGAATACAACAGGCTGCTAAGATTGTGCAAACAGGTCATTGTGCAAACACGCCCCTGTGTGTGACCCCGATTGTGCAAACAGGTGTTTACTGGAGGTTGCCCCGCTTGGGCAGCCTGCTTACAAAAGCCCTTGAGCTGTTGACTTAGATAGATATTGGACACTCCTTCTTCCCTGAACCCAGCCTGAACCTTCTGCCTCCTGGCCTTTGCTCAGGCTGTCCCCTCTGCCTCGAGTGCCCTCCCTCGCCTCCACCTCAGCTTGTTGAAACTCTACTCATTCTTCAAGGTTCAGAGAAAATGCCACTAAGTCTTTTTTTCTTTTTTTGAGATGAAGTTTTGCTCTTCTTTCCCAGGCTGGAGTGCAGTGGTGCAAACTCCTCCTCCTAGGCTCAAGCGATTCTCCTGTCTCAGCCTCCCAAGTGGCTGGGATTACAAGTGCATGCTACCACACCTGGCTAATTTTTGTATTTTTAGTAGAGATGGGGTTTCACCGTGTTGGCCAGGCTGGTCTCAAACTCCCGACCTCAGGCAACCCACCAGCCTTAGTCTCCCAAAGTGCCGGGATTGTAGGCACGAGCCACCGCACCCAGCCACGAAGTCTTTTTTTCATAAGCTTTCCCCTCATTTGTACTGTGTCCTGCGATGTACCTTTAGTTTCCTGGTCGTGTTTTACCTTATGGCTCTTTACAGATCCATAAGTTCAAGGATCTTTCCTTATTCACCTCTAAAAGGTTGCGAAACTGAGGTGCAGAGAGGGAAGGTGACCTGCCCATGTCCCACAGCCATTTTGAGGCCGAGCTGGGCTCTCAGTCAGGCCTCTGCATTTTCTGCCACACTCGCCACCCCTCTTTCAGGCCCTATCCACCTCTGACCTCAGACCTTTGCTCTGACCCCTGGGTTGAGGTGGGAACTGGAGGGATGGGTGGTACTTACTTGGAGGATGGAGGTATGCTGGGCAGGGGAACAGCGAGAACCAAGACATGGAGGCTGGAATGGGTGCCATAAGAGAGGTAGAAGGTGGCCCAGGCCTGGGAATGGCTGTGGTGGGGAGGGAAGGCATGCATTCTAGACCCACAGATGACATTGATGCTGCATGACCCTGAGCAGCACCTCACAGTCCTGCCTCTCAGACCCCTAACTCCCCTGCAAGCTCCACACACACCCCAAACTAAACATGCCTCCCAGGTGAGCTCCTCTGTGTTTTCTCCTGAAAACCTGCTTTTCTGTCCTGGTGGATCCAGAAACTTGAACTGCTCCTGAACAGCTCCCTGCCACTTACCCCTAACATCTGGTCTGTTGCTCCTTCCCGTGGGTTCTGCCCCTTCTTTCCCACCTTACGGCCCCCGTAGGAAGCCAGGCCACCATTGTCGTCTCCTTGCATGACATACCGGCTTCCTCCTGGCCCCACTGCCTTCATTCCTGGGATACCACCCTTGCTATACTTAGCAGGAATGCTTCTTCCCATTAGCAAATTCCAGTATGTCACCACTCAGCTGAAAATTGGCTGTGTGCCGTGGGTCATGCCTCTAATCCGAGTGCTTTGGGAGGCCAAGGTGGGTGGATCACCTGAAGTCAGGAGTTTGAGACCAGCCTGGCCAACATGGTGAAATCCCGTCTCTATTAAAAATACAAAAATTAGCTGAGCGTGGTGGTGGGCACCTGTAATCTCAGCTACTCGGGAGGCTGAGGCAGGAGAATTGCTTGAACCTGGGAGGTGGAGGTTGCAGTGAGCTGAGACTGTGCCACTGCACTCCAGCCTGGGCGACAAGAGCAAACTCTGTCTCAAAAAAAAAAAAAAAAAAAAAAGAAAAGGAAATCATCAATCCATTGGTTCCTCACTGTCCATGGGATAAAGTTCTAAGTCTTCCTCATGTCCTTTGAGGCCCTTCAAAACCAGACCCTGAATCCCTCTTCACCCTGGAGCCTCATCTCTCTCTCTCTCTCTCTTTTTGGTCCAGGTCCTCATCCCTGGAACCTATGAATATGTCACCTTACATGTCAAAAGAACTTTGAAAATGTGATTAAGGTTAAGGATATTGGGATGAGGAGATTATCTTGGATTATCCGGGTAGATCCAACATAATCTCTTGATACTCCCTTTCCCAATCTCCTCTTCCTTTTTTTTTTTCTTTTTGAGATTGAGTCTCACTATGTAGCCCAGGTTGGAATGCAGTGGCGTATTCTCGGCTCACTGCAACCTCCACCTCCCGGGTTCAAGCAATTCTTCTGCTTCAGCCTCCCAAGTAGCTGGAGTTACAGGTGCGCACCACCACACCCGACTAATTTTTGTATTTTTAGTAGAGACGGGGTTTCCCCATGTTGGTCAGGCTGGTCTTGAACTCCTGACCTCGTGATCTGCCTGTCTCGGCCTCCCAAAGTGCTGGGATTACAGGCCTGAGCCACCACGCCCAGCTTCTTTATTTTTTTGTTTTGAGACGGAGTCTCGCTGCGGCACCCAGGCTGGAGTGCAATGGCTCGATCTCAGCTCATTGCAACCTCTGCCTCCCCAGTTCGAGCGATTCTCCTGCCTCAAGTTGCTGAGATTACAGGTGTCCATTACCATGCCTGGTTAAATTTTGTATTTTTAGTAGATACAGGATTTCACCATATTGGCCAGGCTGGTCTTGAACTCCTGAGCTCAGGTGATTCACTCAACTTGGCCTCCCAAAGTGCTGAGATTACGGGCCTGAGCCACTGCGCCCAGCCCTCTTCCTCTTCATGAGCCTGATGCTTCAACAATTCTACCTACAGTCATCATCTAATCATGTGCTGCCTTTTTCCTAGCTCCAGGCCTTTTCCCGTAGTTTCCCTCTGCTTGGAAATGCCCTTCCCTTATTTCTATGTTTGAAGAAATCTCTTTCATCCCTCAAAATCCAGCTGGCATGTCACCTCTTCTGTGAAGCCTTCCCAGATTTCCCAGGCTGCATTAGGTGTTGCTTACCTGGGCTCCCAGATGCTCTGTGAAGTCTGGGATGGATCTGTAACCTCAATACGCAGCATGGGGCCTGGCATGGAGGAGATGTCGGTGAAAGGTTGCTGTACAGCTTGGATGTTGGACCTGGGTTTTCAGGCCTTTGGGGCCCGTGCGGCTCTTTAGTTACCTACTGAGAGGTCTGGAGGAGTGTCTTCCAACACGTGGCAGCTGAGTCTCTTCCCTGGTGCTCAGCTGAGCAGGATTTTCTGCCTTTGATTGGTGCCCCAAATAAGAAATGAATTAATTAGGACATAATTGATACTGAATGCTGGTGGGCAAAACGCCCCAGGCTCTCTCCCCAGGCTGCAGAGAGGCTGGGATGGCTGCCCAGATGTTCTCTGGGGGCCTCCCTCTGGGGAAGGAAACAGAATTCTAGCTTTGAGTGGGCAAAAGGGAAGACTTCCCCTCCCTTGTATCCCCTGCTTATGGTCTTCTGGCCAGGAGGACCTTATCTCTGCTCTCTGGGCCTGGCCTGCCATGGTATGGCTGGGGAGGGGCATGGTCCTTCTTCATGTTTCCAACTTAGTGGGTGTAAAATTGTATCTCGTATTGTCTTAATTTGCATTTTTGTGATTATTAATGAAGTTCATCTTCTTTTCCTGTGCTGATTGGTCTTTTGTGTTCCACTTCTGAGACATGCCCTTGTTCATGTCTTTTGCTCATGTTTTCAGCTGAGCTGTCAGCTGTGTACGTTGCAGGTAACTTCTCCCAGTGGTGGCTTGTCTTTTCATTTTATTATGTCTTGATAGAGAAATTTTCTTAGGGTTTTTTTTTTTTTTTTTCTTTTGAGACGGAGTTTCGCCCTTGTTACCCAGGCTGGAGTGCAATGGCACGCGATCTCGGCTCACCGCAACCTCCGCCTCCTGGGTTCAGGCAATTCTCCTGCCTCAGCCTCCTGAGTAGCTGGGATTACAGGCACGTGCCACCATGCCCAGCTAATTTTTTGTAGTTTTAGTAGAGACGGGGTTTCACCATGTTGACCAGGATGGTCTCGATCTCTTGACCTCGTGATCCACCCGCCTCAGCCTTCCAAAGTGCTGGGATTACAGGCTTGAGCCACTGCGCCCGGCAAATTTTCTTAGTTATAATGTATTGAGTTTATGAATATTTTCTTTATGGCTGGTACTTTTTATCTTGTTGAAGAAAGCCTTTCCTGTTCTGAGGCCATAAGGATGCTCTTCTGTATTTTCTTCTATGAGTTTAAAAGTTTTGCCTTTCCTGTAAGTTTTGAATCCGCCTGGAATAGATAGCACTTATGATTTGAGGAAAGGATTCGATTTTATGTTTTTCTGTGTAGATATCGAACTCCTGATTTATTGAATAGCCCTTCCTTTCCCCAGTGACCTGCAATGCTACCTCTGTGTCATATTTCACATTTTCACATACCTGTGGCTCCTTTTGAGGCTCTTCGTTCTATTCCATTGGTCTACTTAATCATCCCTGTGTCAATATCCCTTCTATCTCAATTACATTATATTTAGAAGTCTTGATATCTGCTAGGGCATGCTATCCCACCTTGCTTTTCTCTCCAGTTTTGCCTATTCTTGTGCCTTTGTTCTCCTAAGGTATTTTATAATTAGCTTGTCAGGATCCACAGAAATTCTGTTGTGATTTTGATTGGAGTTGCATTGATTTTATAGATCAATTTAGAGAAAATTGCTCTAAATTGATTCTCCTTATTCATGAAGGATTTTTAAACGTTATTATTTATAGTCTTTAATTTTTTTTCTTTTTTTTTTCTTTTTGAGACAGTCTGTTGCCCAGGCTGGAGCGTAGTGGCATAATTATAGCTCACTGCAGCTTAGAGATGAGATTTTGCTATGCTGCCCAGGCTGGTGTCCAACTCCAGAGCTCAAGCGATCTGCCCTCCTGTCCTCCTGAAGTGCTGGGATTACAGGCGTGAGCCACTGCACCTAGCTGTGTCTCTAAGGTTTATAATTCCTTCCATCCAGGTCTTACATATCTTTTGTTAGCTTTATTCCTGGCTTCCTTATTTTTGTTGAAATTGTAGATGATACGTATTTTCAAAATGCATCTCTTAAATATAATTGCTTTAACTAAAGGTATCTTTCTCCTTCCCTCTTATACATTGTTTTTAAAATCTAGCAACTTTTTTAAATCTCTAACACTTTATTTGTAGATGTTGGAGTTTTCTCTTCTTTTTTTTTTGACAGAGTCTTGCTCTGCTGCCCAGGCTGGAGTGCAGTGGCACAATCTTGGCTTACAGCAACCTCTGCCTCCCAGATTCAAGCGATTCTCCTGTCTCAGCCTCCCAAGTAGCTGGGATTACAGGTGCCTGCCACCATACTGGGCTAATTTTTGTATTTTTAGTGGAGATGGGGTTTCACCATGTTGGCCAGGCTGGTCTTGAACTCCTGACCTCAGGCGATCCACCCACCTCAGCCTCTCAAAGTGCTAGGATTATAGGCAGCAGCCATCACGCCCGGCCTGATTTTGGGTTTTTCTAGGTCAATAAACATAGAATCCATGAATGGTGCACATCTTTTCCCCTCCAATCTTTATAAGTTTTATTTTATTTTATTTTTGGTCTCACTGCGTTGGCTAGAACTACTGGTGTGGCTTTGAAGGGAAGTAGCAGTAGTGAGCATCTTTGCCTTTTCATTATTTTATTTTATTTTTATTTTTATTTATTTTTTTTTGAGACGGAGTTTCGCTCTTGTTACCCAGGCTGGAGTGCAATGGCGCGATCTCGGCTCACCGCAACCTCCGCCTCCTGGGTTCAGGCAATTCTCCTGCCCCAGCCTCCTGAGTAGCTGGGACTACAGGCACGCGCCACCATGCCCAGCTAATTTTTTGTATTTTTAGTAGAGACGGGGTTTCACCATGTTGACCAGGATGGTCTCGATCTCTTGACCTCGTGATCCACCCGCCTCGGCCTCCCAAAGTGCTGGGATTACAGGCTTGAGCCACCGCGCCCGGCTCCTTTTCATTATTTTAAAGGGAATGATAATGTTTTCCGTTAAGAATAATGTTTTCAGGCTGGGCTTGGTGGCTTATTTCTGTAGTCCTAGCATTTTGGGAGGCTGAGGTGGGAGGATAGCTTGAGTTCAGGAGTTCAAGACCAGCGTGGAAATATAGCAAGGCCTCATTTCTACTAAAAATAAAAAAAAAATTAGCTGGGTGTGGTGGTGTGTGCCTGTAGTCCCAGCCCCCTCTCTGGAGGCTGAGGCAGGAGGATTGCTTGAGCCCAGGAGATGGAGGCTGCATTGAGCTATGATCACACCACTGTATTACAGCTGGGCAACAGAGTGAGACATTGTCTCAAAAAATATTTTTTTTCCTTCTATTCTTAGTTTTCCAGGAGTTTTTTTTTTTAAATTACGAATTTTAAATCATATATAAAACACTTGTGCATCTATTGAAATGACAGTTAATAATAATATATTGAACATTTCAAAATTGCTAAGAGAGTAAATTTTCAATGTTCTTGCTACAAGAAATGATACGTATTTGAGGTGATGGATATGTTCATTAGCTTGATTTAATTATTGCACATTGTATTTGTAAACTATAACATCAATTTGTACTCTATAAATATATACAATTATAAGTTGTCAATTTATAATAAAAATTTTAAAAAATTTTAAAAAGAAAAAATAAGGTAGTATTTCTCATGTAGCCTGTTAATGTGATGAGTACATTTATAGATTTATAGTACTGCAACTTCCCTGCAGTTCTAGGGTACATCCAACTTAGCCATAAAATATTGTCATTTTTATCCACTGGTAGATTCAAGCTGTTATTACCTAGTTTAAGACTTTTGTTTCTGGCTATTGAGTGAAATTGGCCTGTAATTTTCCTTTCTCATATTCTCCTGGTTAGATTTTGGAATCTAGAGTACACTGTCCTCATGGAATGAGCTGGGAAGTGCTCTGTCCATTTCTGTTCTCTGTAAGGGTTTTTAAAGTTGGAATGATGTGTTCCTTGACATAGCTGATCATAGTATTTTACTTTCTATCTTTCTAATATCTTCTGGATCTGTAAATCAAAAATTTCTAATAAGAGCTTTTGGTGACTTCTCTCTTTTATTTTTCATCAATCTTGTCAGAGGTCTGTCTTTTATGAGTCTTTTTAAGAAACCAATTTTTGACTGTTGTGTGTGTATCTTTTTTTTTACTGCGTCTTTGTTTCGATGTAATTAATTTTTCTTTTTAGCTTTATTATTACTCCCTTTGGACTTATTTGTTGGTTCTTTTTATAAACCCTTAAGTTGGGGCTTCATTTATTAATTTTTGGGCTAAACTTTCAAGGCTCTACATTTTATTAGAAGTGCTGCTTTGGGTCTATCTCAGTTTCAGTAAGCACTGTTTTCATTATCATTCTGTTCTAAGTGTTTTAAAAATATATATCTTCTTTGACTTAACGAATTACTCAGAAGAAAGCTTTAAACTTTCCAAATGTGTGTGAATTTTAAATTTATCTGTTTCTCACTGAGTTCTAATTTAAATGCAGCACAGTCAGAGAACATGATGTGTGTGATGATAATTCTTTGGAATTGAGTCTTGTTTTATAACCTAGTACATGGTCAATTAAAATAACTTTTATAATCTCAGCATTTTGGGAATGAGGCTGGAGAATCCCATGAGGCCAGGAGTTTGAGACCGGCCTGGGCAACATAGTGAGACCCTGGCTGAGCGCTTGTGCCTGTAATCCCAGCACTTTGGGAGGCTGAGGTGGGCGAATCAGGAGGTCAGGAGTTCGAGACCAGCCTGGCCAACATTGTGAAACCCCATCTCTACTAACAATATGAAAATGAGCCTGGTGTGGCAGCGTGCACCTGTAATCCCAGCTACTTGGGAGGCTAAGGCAGGAGAATTGCTGGAACCCAGGAGGCGGAGGTTGCAGTGAGCTGAGATCACACCATTGCACTCCAGCCTGGGCAACAGAGGGAGACCCCGTCTCAAACAAAAAACAAAAAGAAAACAACAAAAAAACATAGTGAGACCCTGTCTCTCTAAAAAAAAAAAAAAAAAAAAAAATTGGCTGGGCATGGTGGTGTGTGCCTGTAGTCCCAGCCACTTGAGAGGCTGAGGTGGGAGGATTGCCTGAGGCCAAGAATTCAAGGTTACAGTGATCTATGATTGTGCCACTGTACTCCAGCCTGAGCAACATAATGAGACTCTGTCTCTAAGAAAAAACAATTAAAAAAAATGTGTGCTTGAGAAGTTTAGTCTGTAGGTATTAGATGC